CGAACTAAGCACTTTGAGCGCTCGAACAAGCACTTCGAGCGCTCGAACAAGCACTTCGAGCGCTCGAAGTTAGACCAGTGAACTCCTTCCTCTTGACCTGCTTTGCACTACTTTGGTAGAACAGCCATAACTTTCTGCTCCGAACTCCAAATAATGAACCGTTTGAATATTTGGAAAGTTAATTCGAAGCTCTAAATATGTCATGTTTTAATGGAAGTCCAGTTCTCGAGTTTGATTGGTCAAAAATGGAAAGCAAAGTCAGATTCCACTGCTGCCAGAACTTAGCCTTGAGCACATTGCTATTCAAAGATTGAATAAAACACGATTTTTGCTCCTTTTTGGCCAATGAACCTGAAAATATATAAAAACGTGCAAATAAAGATAATTTATAAAGAATAATCAAATAATGGATTTAACTAATGCAGATAAGGGCGCTTGAATATGCAATATTCGGTGCTTATCAGGTCTCATCTTGACATAGACGTTAGGTGGCATGAGCCCCTTTAATATGTTTCACTATAAGGTGATAAAATTGTAAAATGCTAGGTCGATGCATGCTCATCTCCTACGAGTAGCTTTATGTTACTCACCCCTACGATACTGGGGTATATTTCAGGTACAAGACTCAGGATTTGAAGATTCCATTGCTCCTTGGATGGCTTACAGTTTTTATGTTTTTATTTTATGCAAGTGTTAGCATAAGATACCTCTTTGTAGCCCTATTTGTTTAAACTTGTATTTGTTGATTCGTATATGTAAAGTGTACGTAAGTGCACTCTTTTCAATGTATTTAACATGTATAAGATGAGGCCGGAAGCCAATGACATGTATCTCGTTTTCTATGCACTTTTGTTTTCAAAGTTTATTATGAAAATATTGGAAAATGTTAAGTCATTGCTTCATAACTTTCGCATCGGGTGTTGAAATTTCATATCTTTTCTGCCCGGACTCAGAATTAGACGATTCTTGATTCTAATTTTGTTCATTTTTCGTTTTCCTTCCAATGGTGTGCATGGTGGCACCCTTTTCAGTTAGAAATGACCATTTTGCTCTTAGTTCATCTCTTTTCGGGTTAGGCATTCTTGCTTCATTTGCTTGGCTCATTTGAGTTCCGTGGCTTCATGGAGAGTCATTTTGGGGCCTTAGGGATGACGTACATTTCTTGAGGTCATTTGGCTTCTTTCGCTTCCGCATTTCGGGTTCGTTATCGGGTCAACTTTCGGTTCATCACTAACGCACCGGGTTGAGAAATCCGGGTTGTTACAGGTGGTATCAGAGCTCCTAGGTTTTAATACCTTGGACGACGGGTTTTGGGTGCATATCATGCTTATGTTGCCATGCTCTATGTGTTTATATGCTTCATGATAACATGTTTATGTGCTTATGTGCTACATGTGGTATGCCATTTGTAAAGCATGATTTAATTATTATGTAAAGAGCATGACATATGATGTATTCTAGATCAGATTTGTATATGCATAACTGTGTTGCATATTTGGCATGACACGAGATTGGTCATTGAGGCTCAAGTTGAGGTTGATGGTGATTATAGTCACGGTTGTATTGTAGTTTAGGTTGTTGTTGATCTAGAGTTGGTTTTGAGGTAGGTGGAGAGACATCTTTTGTTTAGGCTCTCGTGGGGTGAGCCATTAGGCACAACCGTAGTACTGGATTTGTTGATTTTAGGCCATGGTTAGGTTTTGAACCTTTTGGGATCCTTGGTTGTTTTGGAAGGTTCCTCTGAGATTGCAATTTTGGTGGGCGGGTACGTTGTGGGCGGGTGCATGGCACTGTCATGCTACCATACTGGCAAGCTACGAGTGTAGTTCGGATGGAATCAACGTTAGGTTTTGTTCCGACAAGTGTAGTCCTTTTGATTGATAATGATGATGGTTGTTTTGGGGATCAGTGGTAATGATCGTTAGAGTTGCCATTTTCTTTGAGTTCTCCTTGCGCGATGACGCTTTTGGGGTTAAGTTGATTGATAGATGCTTCGGGTAGAGAGAGCATTGTATTGTTAGTGTCACTTGTAGTGTCACCCTTAGATTCAGAGATGGATTGTAGGAGTCTTACCATTGTGGTAAAGGCTCACGTTTGTTTTGAGACAGGTTGTTGTTGCATTGGTTTTTGGAGTCAGTGTATGGCTAGGACTGGTCCTTCTTTTTTACCTAGGCACTCTAGGACACGATGTCCATAGGATTCATTGTTGCATCACTTTTGTTTTCTGCAATTTCATTTACTACCATGTTAGTAGTATGATTTATGATATTGTGATGCATGAGTAGGTGGAGGTCTATCCACGTTTGCCTTCTTGTTGTGTGGCAAAAACATGCCTTTCTTATATGCTTCGAGATACCATGTTGTTACTGCACTTCAATGACATGTTTTTGTGTTTATGTGGAGACGTGCAGCATGTGCTTTTGATTTTCATCTATGTAAGTAGATTTTCTCTCTGGTAGTTGCATTCCTTGTCATATGCATGACTTTCAGGTTTGGTTTTCCCATTCGTTTCCCTTGGTCCCACGTAGTCTATATGCGGGTTTCCACAATGGTTTTGTGCTGGTTCGTGTTAGGGACTTCACAAGGAGTGAGTCTCTTCCCTCCGTTGCGTTATGCACTGTTTTGGGGTTGGTTGGTCCATGAGGATCATCGTTGTTGTCTTGAGTCCTTGGTAAGGATTTGATAGATTTTGGTTGACTTACTTCCAAGTAGGGCGTGAAATCTTTGACTTTGTTATCTTTCATATCAGAGATGGAGTCGTGGTGTTGTCCTTTTTAGGACTAGTGGTCCCCTTTCTTTCGTGCCTTCCCTTGGGGAGTTCCTGCCGTGGTTGTTGATGAAGTTATGGTGCTCAGGGTGAGTTGATTTGTGTGAGATCATTTTACGAGGACTTGTGTCTATATTATTGAGGATCTTTTTGATTCGTGAGGGGAGCTCGATGCTCTTTTGAGGATGTCTTTTGGAGACTTGTTTCGATTTTGTAGACCTGGATGTGGTTGACCCTTAGGAGAGGTTTTGAAGGATCGCGGTTGGATTTGGTTTGTTTGTGAATTTTTCTCGTCCTAGTTATGGCTAGGCATCGTTTTGAGGAATTGTAATTTCAGTGATTGGGTATGGAATGAAATTGAGGAATTTTGATTTAGCCTGGTATTGTCAAGCACGGTTTTGAGAGACTCTTTTTTTTTTATGACTATGGATGTCAGAATTTTGATGTGTATGCCACGTGGTGGACTTGTTTTTCGAGGACTTAGTTATCCATGATAGGGATCTGGATCTGATGTTTGATTTCGGTGTAGTTTTGTAGTTGATCTGTTTCAGGGAGATATGTGGGACTTTCGATGAAATGTCTTGTATTGAGGTTCGTTTTGATTCATAGTGGTGTTGATTTATCTGGCAGGCTTTGGATTTTTGATTGATGTTGTTAATAGGAGTGTTTTGAGACATTGAAGTTGTTAGTTTTGTTGTATTGAGGATTTAAGACCTTAAGCGTAGCGGTGCCTATGACATTGTTGTCAGAGTTTTGGGATTAGCTACCCCAACTCTCACACGATGCCTGGTTTCCGTAGTGCATTTGGTGATGATCTTTTCCTGACATTAATGTCATTTGTATCGAGAGGTTTCATGGGTAGACCTAGTGGGAGGCAGGTCATGAATTAGTACCTAGTACCGTCATGCTACCTTACTGATGAGTAAGTGTGGGCGGGTTATGGTTGCTATTCGTACTGCCACATTGTCTTTGTTGTGTACCCTGATTTGATACGTGGTTATCTTGGAGTTCTTTTGGTGGTTGTTTTTGGATCGGTATGATGGTTCATCAGGAGGAATGCTTATGGTTGTTGTCTTCCGTTCCTTTGTCCAACCTTGGGTTCTTTGTGTGTGACTTTTGACAAATCATGTGACCGTGTGGTCAATTTCCTTTTGAGAGGTTGTCCTGTCGTAAGCACGTGGGTGCGAATGACATTGGTTTGTACGTTGTCTTTCAGCTTTGGGATTGCTTTTGTAGTACGTTGTGTGGGGTACTCGGAGACGTACTCCGTAGTTATCCTGGTTTCACCTTTAGTTTATTGGGGCTGGATTTCGGGGACGAAATCCCTTTAAGGTGGGAAGGTTGTAATGACCCGGTCATTTTCATTTCTTTCCCTTTCTTCAAATTTTGCGGAATAATTTTTTTCATTGTCTTTTCCTTTTCGGGTTCGATTTCCCGCCTATTAGTATCGTCTCGAGTGCTCGGAAATGGTTTCTGAGACTCTTTCCTTTGGATTGACAACTTCCTTTGAGGACCGAGTCATTTTCACATTTTTTATTTTTTTGACGCTATTCATTTTTTCGTCTTTTCCCTTTTTCGTCCTTTAGTCGTTTTTCATTTTTCCTTACTTAACTTCACTTTTTGTGCTCGGATTTGATTTCGGCTTGGCATACGTCCATAATATTTAAATTCCATGACATCTACATTTTTACTTTGGTAGAAATGCATATTAAATGCTTACTTTCTTTGTAAAAGCCATGAAAACAAGACTTTTTGTAATTATCCATAACTTGAGGGGTTTTTGGGTAATTAAGTAAAGTAATTATTTTTTGTCTTAGGGACCATTTTGCAAATTAAATTGGAATATATTTTCAAAAAGGACCTTTTTGCAATTTCTGAAAAAATGTGACAAGTGTCATATTCCTATGGTGCCACTTGTTGATTTTGTGGTGGAACCACTTGGAGGCTTAATCTCATGACACATGGAGGGTGGAGATTCACCCACTTGTTGTCCTAGGATTGGTGCACTTGTTGGCATGGATGGTTGCAAGTGTAAGGTTAATATTTAATCTTGGAAGCTTACTTGGATTCATGACAAGTGTAGGACTCACCTTTAGTCTTGCATTAGTGTGTGTGTGAGAGGTAGTGCAAGAGCACCTAGTGAGTGGAGAAGCCCACCAATTTAGCTTAGGGTTTACACATTTTAATTCATTCATCACTTTCCTCTCAAGAACCCTAAGGAAGCAACCATTGGAGAAAAGCTTGACTAGTAGCTTTGACTTCATTTTTGGTGCCCTTTCACTCACCTTAGAACTTTGAACTTGGAATACTTTAGGCTCCTCCCACTCTCCTCTTCAAAACCCTTCAAGGATCTAGCCTAACTCCTAGTTTTGCTTTGGTATCTAGAGATTCAATTCTCTAGTGAGGTATTGATCTATTATTTTGAAGTATTTTTATGTCATTATTGAGTGTTTTACATGCATGGAAGAGAAGGACTTGTATTTTGCCCTTAAACTGTTTTAACTTGAAATTAATCTTGTCAAATTAAATATAGAATATGAAAATATACTCAATTAGCTTTCATTTAGTTTTGGTTTCATGTAATTTGAATTTAAAATGAATTAGTTATGAATTTTTGAAGTCGCAAGCTAGTTGTTGGAAATTTGAAGTTTTTCCTTTTTGGTCTGGAAATGAATTTTTTATATAGAGCTGTGGTATTTCAATTGCCTTGAAATTTTTACTGGTACTTCCCCCATGGGTTTTACACTACTCAGAATTTTTTCACGATTTTAGAGTATTTCTAATTTTTTGTTTTAAAATCTGAAACTATCTGTTGTCCATGTTTTTATTGCAGCTGGAAAACATATTTTTAGATGATTTATTTCACTAACCTTTGACATTGGATCATGACTTAAATTTCCAGTTTTACACTCTCATATGTTTACTTCCAAAATAAATTAGGTTTGCCCAATTTGGATGTCAAATGAATTTTTCATGAATTTTCAAAATTGGAAGCTACAGGCTGAAAATGTGTTTTCTGGGCAGAATTTGTTTCAAAGTTGTGGTTCAAATCAATTAGGAAAATATTTTGTTAAACTAAAATGATATTATCAAATTACAGTGTTTAAGCTTTCATTGGGCTTTGGATTTATTTAATTTGGGTTAGAATTGAATTTTTTATGAATTTTTCAAGTTGAAGGTAACAAGCTGAAAAATCTGTTTTGCGGACCGAAAATTTGGGGCGATTTCATTTCAGTGGTAATTGGGATTTTCATTCCAATTGAGGTAGGAAATGTTTTAGGATTATTTGTGTGTTGTATTGTGTGTTTGCCATGATTATACAACATATATGTATGCCTTGTATCAAATCTAGAAAGTTAGTAATTTTTATTTCTTTGTATAAGATATAAAATTTATGATGATTTATAACTTTGATTTGAATTGTAACATGCTAGGAAATTATGCTTAGATATATTGGTTAATATATATTAAATTTGGATCATTTGATTAAGAATTACAACTTTTATTTAATATTTATTTTTAGTGAAAGTTTAATTCACATGGTTGTATCAAACATTAAATCAAGTTGTAATGTGGTATTTAAATAGGCATTGGCATGTTCTCTAACATAGATTAAATTAAGGGCATTTGGAATTGTTTAAAAATCTAGAGGAAATTAATTAATTAGCTTGATTAATTTTGTTTTAAGTGTTTTAATCACTTAACTTGTCATTTGATGTTATATATATGATGACCATGACATGTCTTTCAACAGATATTAAATTGAGGTTATTTGGATTAACTTGGAATTTAGAGAATTTAACTATTTGTGTTTAATTAAATTCTACTTTATTACTTCATGGATTTAATTGCATTTTGGAAGTTGTTTTTATATTTAAATCATGGATTTGGATTTGATGTATGTTCACTTGATTACTTTTGAGTATTGGATAACATAGTTGTTACTTTTATATTCATGAGAATATGTTTTTCCTTATTGAATATATTGTTGCTATGTGTAAGGAATTACACACTTTGTATTTGACATCTTACATGTTATAGTAGTTGTAAATTTTGAGCATGTATTGTATAAGTTTCCAAAATTTGGATTGTGCTTGGTAAATAGTTGATATCTTGTATATACATGTTGATATATATACGTTGTTGCACAATTTGTTGATTTTGGAAACTTGGGGATGTCGTTGTTTGGCTACGGCTAGGACTTGGTTCTAGTACGGGGGATTGTCCCTCTATATAGTCTAGTACGCACATAGGGAGATTACCCATGGGCTAGTAACCCTAAAGTAACTATGTTGTCGGTCTGATCCGGCGTGACGTTCGAGTATCCACTTTGTTTGATTTCGTATTTCATTTCAAGTTGATAACTAGATGATATTGTAACTTGTTGTTCCTTATTTGATTTCTTATTTTGAGCTTAAGATGTAGCTTTGTGAAAGCATGCTTCATGCGTTGTACTGGAAGTTCCATTATTGGTTAAATTACATCGATATCATAATTTGGGTTTTGATGTTCAAATGTAATTTAGGAATGACCTTATAGATTCATTTTGAACATAGACGTTAGGTGGCATGACCCACACTTGTTGTTTTCGTATTTTGGATTTCAAGTTGAAGACTTTGAGAATCTATATCTTGTTGCCTTGTATAACATGTTTCCATGTTGTTTGAATTGCATGAACAATGTGATTATGATATAAATGATCTAGGTAGCTTAGGATGCTCCCTGGGTCTCATCTTGACATAGACGTTAGATGGCATGAGCCCCTTTAATATGTTTCACTATAAGGTGATAAAATTGTAAAATGCTAGGTCGATGCATGCTCATCTCCTACGAGTAGCTTTATGTTACTCACCCCTACGATACTGGGGCATATTTCAGGTACATGACTCAGGATTTGAAGATTCCATTGCTCCTTGGATGGCTTACAGTTTCTATGTTTTTATTTTATGCAAGTGTTAGCATAAGATGCCTCTTTGTAGCCCTATTTGTTTAAACTTGTATTCGTTGATTCGTATATGTAAAGTGTACGTAAGTGCACTCTTTTCAATGTATTTAACATGTATGAGATGAGACCGGAGGCCAATGACATGTATCTCGTTTTCTATGCACTTTTGTTTTCAAAGTTTATTATGAAAATATTGGAAAATGTTAAGTCATTGCTTCATAACTTTCGCATCGGGTGTTGGAATTTCATATCTTTTCTGTCCGGACTCAGAATCAGACGATTCTTGAGTCTAATTTTGTTCATTTTTCGTTGTCCTTCCAATGGTGTGCACGGTGGCACCCTTTTCAGTGAGAAATGACCATTTTGCTCTTAGTTCATCTCTTTTCGGGTTAGGCATTCTTGCTTCATTTGCTTGGCTCATTTGAGTTCCGTGGCTTCATGGAGAGTCATTTTGGGGCCTTAGGGATGACGTACATCTCTTGAGGTCATTTGGCTTCTTTTGCTTCCGCATTTCGGGTTCATTATCGGATCAACTTCCGGTTCATCACTAACGCATCGGGTTGAGAAATCCGGGTCGTTACAATACTACTTATGCTCAGGTGGTAGACGCTGCTTTACTGCAGTATCAGTTGACCGTGGACTTCAGACAGGCCAAGGGTGAGAAGTAGGGTAACAGAGACTCTGCAAATCAGTTAGCTAAGAAAGGGAATGGCAACAAACACTGACAGAATGACAAGGGTAAATTGTAGGGACAACAGCCTTGGAAGAAGCATAAGGGTGGTTCAGATGTTCACAGGAATGGGGTACTTATTCAGCGACAGCAGAATGGGGGACCACAGGTAGGACAGGGTCAGCCACAGGCTAATCACCAGAGGAGGCCATTTGGTACTTTCCAGGGTAGTTGTTACACTTGTGGATAGTATGGTCACACTTTGAGGCAGTGTCCTAAAGCAGGACAGGGACAGGGACAAGAACAACATGTGCAGTAGGGACAGAGGGCACCAGTACCTTTATCCGCTCCACAGGTTCCACGGATTCAGGGACAGACATATCCGGCTTTACTTGCACCCCCGCAACCTCAGGGACAGGCACCGCAACAGTTGCATTACGGCAGGGTTTTCAACCCCAAGCCGCAGGGTATTCAGGCACCTCAGGCTGTTGAGGGTATGTTTCTTATCCATGGTTCAAAAGGTCATATTTTATTTGATACGGGTGCTACACACTCATTTGTAGCTAGATCTTTTATTACTTTATCTGGGATGACGACATGGGTATGCAGTAGACCTCAGGGTATTTCTACACCGTTGGGCAATACTGCCATTCTACATGAGATTGATGAGCCTGTGACACTAGATATTATTAGACTCAGATTTCTAGCCAATATTTTAGTCCTGGACATGCACACTTATGATGTGATACTTGGGATGGATTGGTTATCGCACTATCATGCCCAAGTTAATTGTTATGATAGGTTTGTTGTTTTCACCATACCTGGTTAGGATATATACGTCGTCGCTATGCCACGTGCTAACGAGGTTACTAGCACATATTTTTTCCATATGGAGGAGGAAATAGAGGAAGGGATTACTGTACCTTTGGATAGCATACCAGTTGTACAGGATTTTCTAGATGTATTTTAGGAGATTCCAGGGTTACCACCTAGTCGAGAGATAGACTTTGTGATTGACTTAGCTCTAGGCACCACGCCTATTGCTAGGGCATCATACAGGATGGCACCAGTGGAGATGCGAGAGCTGAGGGATCAGATTCAACAATTACTCAGCTAGGGTTTCATTCGTAGGAGTATTAGACCCTGGGGAACACCAGTGTTGTTTATAAAGAAGAAGGATGGTTCACTTCGCCTATGTATCAATTGCAGGGAGTTGAATTGCTAGACATCTTCACATAGTCTTGCAGACGCTTCGTGAGTACCAGTTATATGCCAAGTTCGAGGAGTGTGAATTTTGGCAATGAGAAGTGAAGTTTCTGGGTCACGTGGTGTTAGAAAGAGGAATAGCGGTAGATCCAGCCAAGGTTTCAGCAGTGGTTGAGTGGGGACAGCCTACTTCACCTACCGAGATTTGGAGTTTTCTTGGTTTGGCAGGATATTATTTTAGGTTCATCCAGGGGTTCTCAAAGATAGCGGGACCACTCACTCATTTGACTAAAAAAGGTGTACGGTTCGTGTGGGATGAACACTGTCAGAAAGCTTTCGATGAGCTAAAACGCAAGTTGACTTCTGCACCGGTTCTGTCTACTCCACAGAGCGAAATAGAGTATCTTGTCTACACAGATGCTTCTTTGCAAGGTCTTGGATGTGTTCTGATGCAGGAGGAGTGACCAATTTCTTATGGATCTCGAAAGCTTAAGCCACATGAGCTTAATTATCCAACACATGATTTGGAGTTGGCAGTTGTGGCCTTTGCCTTACGCATTTGGAGGCATTATATGTTGGGAGAATCCTTCAGATTATTTAGCGATCACAAGAGTCTGCAGTATTTGTTCACTCAACGGGAGCTAAATATGAGACAGCGCCGATGGTTAGAGCTTATAAAAGACTATCATTTCTCAATACAGTACCATCCAGGGAAAGCAATTGTGGTGGCAGATGCACTCAGTTGCCGACCTGTTGCTAGTCTTCTTGCTCTATTCACTATTGAGTGGAATGCTTTGAAGACGGTGGATGAGTTGTCGGATGCTTTCATGGCTTGCATGGTAGTTACCCCTTCTATCATTCATAAAGTTTTGAAGGCATAACTCACGGATTAGCAGTGCATTGACAAAATTGCAGAGATAACTTCTAGGGAGGTCCCATTTTACTATGTTGGGGCTGATGGAGGTTTGAGGTACAAGGGACGTGGTACCTTCTGCTGACGATTTGAGGAAGAATGTGATGACTCAGACTCATCATTCTAAGTTTTCTGTTCATCCAGGAGGAGACAAGATGTATCAGGATATGAAGCGGCAGTTTTGGTGGGCAGGTATGAAGAAAGACATTATTATTTTTGTCTCTCGATGTAGTATTTGTCAAATGGTCAAGATTAATCATCAAAGACCGCCAGGAGCTCTATAACCACTACCTATACAGGAGTGGAAATGGGAGAGCATTTATATGGATTTCATGGAAGGACTGCCTAATTCTTTTAAGGATCACAATTCCATTTGGGTCATCGTTGATAGATTGAGTAAATCAGCTCATTTCTTGCCTATTTGTACTGACTTCACTTCGGAGCAGTTGGCGAGACTTTACATTTCAGAGATTGTGAAGTTACATGGCATTCCGTTGTCCATTATATCGGATAGGGATTCGAGCTTTGTGTCAGAATTTTAGAAGAGTTTTCAGCAAGCTTTGGGTACAGAATTGCATCTTAGCACTGCTTATCATCCTCATACTGATGGATGGATGGAAAGGGTTAATCAGATCATGGAGGATATGCTTCGTTCGTGTGTTCTTGATTTCAAGTGACTGGGAAGATTATTTACCACTTGTGGAGTTTGCATATAACAATAGTTTCTAGAAGACTATTAGTATGGCGCCATTTAAGGCATTATATGGCCGACCATGTCAATCTCCTATTTGTTGGATGGAGGTTGGAGAGAGCAGATCCTTGAGTCTTGAGTTCATTAAGGATACTTTTGAGAAGATCGTTCTTATTAAGGATCGCATGCATACTACCCAAAGTAGGGAGAAAAGTTATGCTGATTGTTGCACTCGTGCTTTGGAGTTTCAGGTGGGGATCGGGTTCTACTCAAAGTGTCTCCTATGAAGGGTGTAATGCGCTTTGGGAAGAAAGGGAAATTGTCTTCGCGATTTGTCGGTGTCCATTCATGATTACGGATCAAGTTGGAGCTGTCGCTTATCGGTTGGCACTTCCGGATAACTTGGATCGTGTGCATAATGTGTTCCATGTTTCCTTGTTGCGAAAATTTCTGCCAGATGAGGATCGGTATCAGCATATTGATGTTAAGGAGATTAAGTTACAGCCGGATGCAACTTATTTGGAGCCACTGTGTCGCATTGTCAACTGACGGGATCAAATCCTTCGTAATAAGGTTATCCCTTTGGTGCGTGTTCAGTGGAGTCATCACATTGAGGCTGAGTCTACTTGGGAAAGGGAGGATGCAATTCACTCGCAGTTTCCTGAAATATTAGAAGAAGGTAAGAGCGAATTCCGAGAACGGAATTCCTTTTGTTAGGGGGGGGGGGGGGAAGAATGTAACACCCCTAAATTTAAAAGGATAGTACTAAATTTAAAAGGATAGTCACGGTATTTTTAATTAATTGATTAATTGATTTTTGGTTAGTTGCCTATTTTGCGTAGTTGTTAATTGGTTATTTTATTTGTATTAACTGTTTAATTGTTATTTTTTTTTGAATTAATTGTTTAAGTGTTTAGCTATTTTTAATTAATTGGTTAATTGTTTTATTGTTGTTTTGATTAATTTGTTTTAATTATATATTTGTTTGAGTGGATTATTTGGTTTAAAATTATATGTCTTATAGGTTAGGGTTTTTCTTATATGAAATTGTGGTTAGCCGACTTAGTCTTCGTCTCTTAATACACTTCGACTTAGGTTTAAGGGTGGCCTATAAATATATGTATTAAGTTCTGCCTAGGGTTTTAGAACCCTATTCACGACAGTGGAGGCACAGAGAGAACAGAGGAGGGTTTACAGTAGTCGGATTTTGTTGGAGAATTTAGGAAGACGACGGTATAAGGTTTCAGACTGAGACCTAAAGGAAAGTTCTATTCCAAACTCTCTCCCTTTGGCTCGTGTTCTTTACACGTCTAATACAATTCCAGGAATAAATAAAGATTAAAATTAATCTGGATTGCATGTCTGAGATGTTTTAAACAGGATGTGTTCATAAATTGTTTATTACTCGTTTTAAATTCTTTTTTGCGTAACTCATAATTTAATTCATGTCAATTGATGTATAAAGAATTTAATTAGTCTAGAGCACATTGGGAAAAACTAAAATTAATCTGGTTTGCATGGTTGAGTTGCTTTAAACTGTAGGTGTTCAAGAATGGCTAATTGCTCGGTTTAAATTCTTTTTGCATATTTCATGTTTTAATTGATGTCGGTAATTGAATAAAGAATTTAATTGTTTTTGGAATATACTGGAACCTAGTTCACACACCTAGGAACCCTAGGAATGGAGGACAGACGTCTGGGA